TCTCTTTCGCCGCTGCAGCCGTGTTGCTTTTTTTTTTTACAAAATATGGGCTTGTAGTCACTATATGCTTGTAGTAGCACATCCATTTCTGTCGGGGAAAAAACGCAGACCTATTTTTGCTTGGTCCTGTTGCCGTGGTGACTCGTAATGTCTTCACTCCATTGTTCAGGGCTTTTTATAGTCGCGTGGCACGCGCCTAACTCTGAGTCAAACTACTCAGAGTTGATTAAACCAACTCTTTTCAGCTGTTCTGAAACCGAAAACTCCAAGTTTTCCAACTCTGTGTAAGTCAACTCAGAGTTCAGGTCTGAACTCTGAGTTTGTTAAACCTCCTTCTTGAAACGGGCCCCTGACAAACCTCTAGTTAAGGCCTTTCTAGATCTTATTGATTCTTTTAATCTCACACAATCTGTGGCTGGTCCTACCAATGAGCATGTGCACACCTTGAACCTTATCTTATCTTATGGCGTACCTGTTTGTGAGTTGGAAATCTGTGACGCTGTGTTTTCTGATCATTTGCCCGTGTTATTTGCAATTGATCTTAATTGTTATCCTACTGCTCCTTGCGCTGCTCCGGGCTCTGCGGTGTATTTAATTCCTCCACTCTCACTCAATTCTCTGACTTTGTTAATAGAGACCTCGTTATTCCTGATTCTACTGATGCAGAAGAGCTTGCATTACACCTTCACTCTACTTGTCAGGCCGCCATCAATGCGGTGGCACCATTGAGAACCAGGCGCCCTAGGACTAGGCTCGACCTCTGGTTAAACGAAGAGTCCCGTACTGCCAGGTGTGAGTGTCGCAGGGCTGAGTGCAAGTGGAAAAAGGGCAAACTATAAGTGTCACTTCAGATACTTAGAGACTCTTGGAGTGATTTTCAAAAAACTGAAAATTTTTAAGAGAAATTATTTCTCTAATATCATTCAGTCAAACTGTCATAAGCCTTGTGTGTTGTTTAAAGTTATTGACTCAGTTCTGAATGTCTCTCAGGTTGCCTGTTTTGAGTCTTCCCCTGCCCTTTGTCAAAAATTTTTGTTCTTTTTTAATGACAAGGTGCTTCCTACCAGAACTCAGATTTTATCTCCTGCTTATGATTTTTCTGTTTCTCGTCCCTGCTCTGCTGTCTTCGACCAGTTTGAGTGTGTGTCCTTATCCCATTGTCAGGAGATTGTTGGGCGACTGAATCCCTCTGGGTCCCCAAATGATGCTGTTCCTCCATGTTTTTAAAAGGAAATCTTTCTGGTTGTAGGGCCATTTGTTCTCTCCATTATTAATAGTAGTTTATCCTCTGGCCTGGTTCCAATGATGTTTAAACATGCCGTGGTGCGGCCGCTGATTGAGAAACCTGGTCTGGATCCCACAGTGTTCTCAAATTTTAGGCCCATCTCAAATTTGCATGTCTCTTTAATGTCTCGATGACATTAAATCTTGGCTCACTTTTAACTTTTTAAAGCGAATGAAGATAAGACTGAGGTGATAGTATTTGGTGATTCTGTTGGTTCCCCATCTATTATGTTTTTAAAAGGAAATCTTTCTGGTTGTAGGGCCATTTGTTCTCTCCATTATTAATAGTAGTTTATCCTCTGGCCTGGTTCCAATGATGTTTAAACATGCCGTGGTGCGGCCGCTGATTGAGAAACCTGGTCTGGATCCCACAGTGTTCTCAAATTTTAGGCCCATCTCAAATTTGCATGTCTCTTTAATGTCTCGATGACATTAAATCTTGGCTCACTTTTAACTTTTTAAAGCGAATGAAGATAAGACTGAGGTGATAGTATTTGGTGATTCTGTTGGTTCCCCATCTATTGACTTGGGCTCATTGGCTCAATATAATACAAAGAATATTTTAAATTTAGGTATCAAGATGGACCCTGATTTAAGATTCGACAGCCAAATTGCAGCGGTCGTTAAATCTAGTTGTTTTCAACTAAGACAGTTGGCTAAAGTAAAAGCATTTGTTTCTAGACAGCAGTTTGAGACGCTCATTCATGCTCTTATCACCTCCTGTTTGGACTATTGTAATTCGTTGTATCTTGGGGTTGGTGAGTCTTCTATCACTCACGTCCAGATGGTCCAAAATGCAGCAGTGCGTCTTTTAACAGGTACGAGGAAATATGAGCATATCTCTCCAGTACTGGCTCCCTACATTGGTTACCTGTTCATTTTCGGGTCCATTACAAAATTTTACTCTTTGTTTTTAAATCCCATCCTACTTATCTGATTTGCTTCATTGGCATACACCCACACGCTCTCTGAGGTCAGCCAGTCAGCTTCTCTTGAATGTCCCAAGAACAAAGCGTAAGCTTAGAGGCGATCAAGCCTTCGCAATTGCTGGTCCCAAACTCTGGAATGACTTACTACTGTCCATTAGACAAGCCTCTACCCTGTCTGTTTTTAAGTCTCTTTTAAAAACTCATTTATTTTCCCTTGCATTTTGATATTTTATTTTTGTGTTGATTTAGTCATTTATTATATTGATTATATTTTATATTGTTGTTTGTGGGTTTATAATATATACTGTTTTATTGTAATGTACAGCACTTTGGTCCACTCTGGTTGTTTTTAGTGCTTTATAAATAAAGTTGGTATGGTATGGTATGTCAATAAGGCACCATGGTTAAGCCAGGCCTAATATTTCATGATTACAATTTCAGATAAATGAATTTTTTTGTGGCTTTTTTTGATTGATTTATGAATGTTATTATACATGTTATGTTAAATATAAATATTCTGTAGTTTGCACATTTCATCTCCCTGCTTTATGTATTGTATTGCTTTCTTTGTTTCTTTTTATCCCTCTTTCATTTTTTTCTCTCCTCCAAAACATTATCGGGGATCTGTACAGGTACCACTAAAAATAAATTAGCTTTTATTTTTAATAGGTAAAACATATGTTATCTGACTATTTCAATGGTGCAGGAATCACATAAGAGTTATACACAGCTGGGTTTTATTTTGTATGTACAGGATCCAGAGACTTTTGGCTCCATGCTGGAGCTGTCATGGAGGGGAACTAAAAGCAATGATCTGGGTGTTGTTGATACTGTTGTTTGTGGGTTTATAATACTGTATATACTGTTTTATTGCAATGTACAGCACTTTGGTCCACTCTGGTTGTTTTTAGTGCTTTATAAATAAAGTTGGTATGGTATGGTATGATAAAAACAATTTCAGGAAGTTCCACTTAACTTGTAAATTATGAGGTCCTGGAATATCACTTGGCGATGGACTTGGCATGTCAGTGTGGGGAGAGGAGGTCCTGGAATAAAAAAAATGTGCTTAGTGACCAGTGCGCTTGTATAGTTTCCACATTAAGGGAGCAGCTTAGAGGCAAAACATTATTTGTTGTGTGTTTGTAGTGACCAGTAAATCACAGAAGAAGACTCACATTTACAAGTGTGAGTTCTAAATGCCAAGTTCAATTGTTGCTAAATATATTAGGACTGTGAGGCTACGGTCTCTAATCTGTTTAGTCAAGAGCAAGCATGACTTCGCTACCAATCAACATTATATTCAGAATATTATAGCAACAAATTTAAAGCACACCAGAAACTATATAATGCAGTAACATTAAATAAAGATGTTCTTACCTTCCATTATTTAAAACAGGCCATAACGCAGTCATGGGGCTGGGGTCCTCTTTCGTGTTACTCCGTGCCTTGGCAATGTGATCTTGGGCAATCCTATGTGCTTTTGAAATTCATGGCCTCATCATCAGACTGGTTTGCAGTCTGCTAACCTTTTTATTAACAGTTGTAAGCTTTATAACTTGGTCCAGTTTGGCCGGTTACCTTCTGATTTCTGACCAGCTTCGCCCTGCTGCGACTTTTTTGCATTTTGGCTCCATGGCAGGCATAATATTGCAATGAATGTGCACCTGAACCTGTGAAGGCTGATTACGTTGTGAAATAATTAGCCTAACTGCCTGTTTTTGTTGTATTTAACTATTGTAATTTTACTCATATGCTGTTACAAAAGGCTAGTTGTACAAAGTTTTATACTTTGGACCTTTTATATATTATTCATATGTTCAGATTCTTTCATGTGTAAATGAGGTGCTAGGTCCGTCAAATTCATGGCAATCACCGTTTGAGAGGTGCCAGATCTGAACCTGGCTTGTTCTGGCACATATTAACTCCTGGCTCCACTGAAGGAGTCAAAAGCTGAACTCATGAGCCTGCCCCATCCCCATGTCTGTGAAACTGCAACAGAGACGCACAGGCACTGTGCGCTTTCTTACATGACAAGTTGTCCAGTTGGAGCATATGAAAATGTGTTCAGTTTGGTTTCCATATTTAAAAGCCTTCAGGATTAGAAAAATAAGTTGGTTTGCACTGAACAAAGGCTGGCTTACAAGTCAGCTGATTCATTCTTTCTCTCATGCTGAATGCTTAACCGGGTTTTTGTGGAAAAACCCCTGGAGCCCTGTTGGCTCATGGCCTGGTCTAGTTTAAGATCCATGATTCATTACACATCTAGTTACAGACAAAGTCAAATCACTAGAGGGTAGAGGGTAGAGGCATGGCACTTGTTGAGTTACAGTAAGTATCTGAGACATCTTGGTATAGAAACTGTGACAAATTTATAGCTTGTAGATTTAACTTTTAACAACATGTTTCTGTTACCGTCTGTTTAAGGTATGGGAATATGACAATGCCACCCTGTGTACACACAAAAATAAGCATACATACCTTAACCATACATATGAGTGTAATAGCTGAGGCTGCCTGAGCAGATGATGATAAAACAAAACTGGACTGGAGAATTAATAAAAACACACACCTCTGTCTCATCTAACCATCAAGTAAACCCTTTGTCCACAGAAGTGGCTGTAGCTCCCAAGATAAGCATTACACTGGGAACTGAGCAACGGAATGTCACGCATTAAAATGTTTCAAAATATGTCTAAAAACACAGGGACTGTTAAGACAGCTGGTAAACTCTCTTGCTGAATAATCAGTTCTAGTAATTTTTGACACTGTGTCAATGTCTTGTTTCAGCATGGGAATGAGTCATGATGGGGACCACGCCACCTGCACCGGTCATTCCCACATTATGTCTGGTGAATGGGTGAAAGGACGAAACCCCAGTGGCCTGTCATGGTCGCCCTGCAGCCGCAATGACCTGGAGAACTTCCTCAGGTGAGACACAGCTAGATGTACATAAGCTAAATCTTGAAGCTGTTTTTAGTCCTATGCTGTCAGATTAAATGTATTTCACTGCTGACCTTTGCTTTCACTTTATTATGGGCAGGGATGTGTAGAAGTACAATCAGGACTTTGTGTAGCCAGAGATGTGTAAATGTGTTTTGAGATTTTTGAATTTCTTTTCAAATCAGAATCAGCTTTACTGGCCATGTGTGTCCGACACACAAGGATTTTGACTCTGGTACATTGGCTCTCAATGTGCATGTACATATATATCCCCATGCAGGGGGCAAGCAAACAGTGAACCAGCATAAGTCAAGTCAAGAATCTTTATTGTCATTATGCTGTTGGACTAAACCAGTCCTGCATGTCCTTTTATGAAGAATGCTCAAAGACAAATCTGTCCTTTGAGATATTTATTACAATCAATATTTATGAAAAAATATTCTAGAAAAGCAATACAGAGCTCTGGGTTCCGTCTCTATCTGAAGCCCCATTACACAGAAGTATAGTGCACAGCTGCTGCAGGAAGGCGGAACCACGAGTTTCCTCTGCACAGAGAATTTATAATAGTCATGATGGTAGATCTGACGTCATCCGCGTTGTCCTTCATCCTCGCTCCTTAGTTGGTTTGTTGACCTTGTCCTGACCCCTCATTTGGTGATCATGTTGCCAGGCAGATTTTGAATTCTCAGTACAACATATCCTGACCTTTCAATAGACATTACCCTCCTACATACGTCTTTATAAACAGTTAGTTGTTGTCTGCAGATTCAGGAAGAGCGCCAGCGTTGCTAGGAAACCTGGTCTACTTCCTGTATGTGGTTTCCTGTCTACTCTTACAGCCTTACACATGTCTCCTCTATTCTTGCAGCCAATGAAATGGTTAACACAAGTAAATCATAAAGCATATGATACTATTACAATGCATATGATACGAACATAAACATGTAGATATATTTACTAATGCAGATTATAATGTCAATCCTAGAATTTCATATGTTGATAAATGTTGATAAT